AACCAAAGCTTTGAGCTGAGGGGCAGCGAAGGTGAGAGGGGAGGTGGCTGGGGACATCAGGGACTCATAAGACTCCAGAGGCCACAGATGGGTAAGCGCTGCCCTGGTCTGTTTTAGAGGGAGCCCGAGGCCCAGAGAGGGAGACCGACTTGCCCATGGTCACACAGCACGTTGTTGGTCCAGCTGGGAACCAGGAATCCAGAGCCTTGGCACTGGGCCGAGGGTGGTGGGATTCCGGGGTGGCAAAGGCTGGGCTTTCCCAGGACCCAAGTCCCTGTGGGGCCCTGAGCAGCTGCCCCACCCTGTACCTCTCTCCCAAGCGTGGCTGGGGTAGCCATGCTCTCGATTTAGGGTTCATCACTCAGTGTTGCTGGGGCACCATTGGCCCCGGGGCCAAGGCCAGCAGGCCCCTCCCCCCAGTGCTCAGCAGAGGTCTCAGTGACATGATGACAATGAACATCACACTCAGAACCAGGCTTGACTCCTGCCCTGCCACTTCCTGGCTGTGCCTCTGGGGAAATCGGGGAACCTCTCTGTGACTCAAATAGGGGTGCATCCAGGGCTGCCTAGGGGATGGCAAACACACCATGCCAGACCCCTTACTCTGCTCCTCAGGGCCCAGCAAAGCCCCTGGTCACCAGCTACCTTGGGCATAGCCTGGGGTCTCACTGTGGAACCCCAGCACTGCCCCAGGAAGGGGGGCTCAACCTGCCAATGATGGCCCCTTGGGGAAGCTTTCCAACGGCAGTCTGCGTTGAAAACCCACGGGCAAGATGCCACCTGTGTGCATTCCCCTATGTCACCTCTTACAACTGAGCCCACGTGGGAGCTTGTTCAATATACACACAGCTCCCGGACCCAGCAGGTAGGGGCTGGAGCATGGGAGCCTGTACCCTTAAAACGCAAGGCTCGGTTGGGGTTCACAACTATTTGCTACGCGTGGTTCTCAAACCCCTTTCCTTTTCTTCCTCTCTCGCTCACTTTCTATCACAGGCCTCCAGACAGACTCTAGCACAGAGGTCCCCCATGCAACAGACAAGAGCAGAGCTTCTGGCTGCGGGTGGGGTTGGTGCCCCGCCTATTAGTTCTTTCACCAGCTATGGCAGTCTTTTGAGGGATCTCTGAGGAACCCGCAAGGGTTCCACGAAACACAGTTTGCAAACTCCTGCTTGTTCCCTTGTCTTCCTCTATTGGGTGGAGAGGAGGAGCCCCAAACAGCCAGCCTGCACAGGGCTGGCCAGTGAGGCTTTCCCCAGTTCCCCGATGCTGCCTGTTGACCACTTGTCCCTGGCAGGGCACTTGGGGGGCCTGCCGCAGGGCTGGTCAAGGATGAGCAGCAGTTACTGAGAACGTGGATGCAGGAGCCAGTCTGCTAGAGCCCAGTCTTGGTGCTGCCACTTCCTACCTGTGTGACTTGGGGCAAGAAGTCCATCACTCTGTGCCTTGGTTTGTTCATCTACCAAGGAGGATGGTAACAGTATTTATCTTGGGGTTCGAGGAACACTTGCCACCTGACCAGGCCATCTCTGACACGTCTCCTTACACGTGTGCCACCCTAGAGTGGTCCCTGGGGCTTCTGTCTCAAGAACCCAGCCTTCCTTCGGCAGCCTGACTGCTTCTCTCGGTCAAATTTGCCTGTGAGGCCACCGCAGAGAATGTGTTTCCACTAGACTCAGAAAGACAGAATGCGCCTTGGGCTGGTGTGTTCTGGGGGCCAATGCCTCAAACTTGCCGTCCTAAGTCGGGGAAACCTGGATTCTCTCCCAAAGCGACCATGGACCTGAATTGGACTCTGAGTTCTGGGCACACAGCTCCAGGGACAACGGGTGACACTGCCCGATGCCCCGATTTCGCACCCTGGGGAGGACATTTTGATCCATCCACCTTCCTCCGGGCAGAAAGCAGGTGTCAGGCTGCTTCACACCTAGTTTCTCCCTCAGGCTGAACTTAACCCCCCTGGAATCACAGGGAACACAAACTGTGTGGCCAATCCTTTCCAGGCACCAAAACACTTTCAGCTTTTGTGCCTGAGTCCCCCAGGAAGGGAGGGTTTTTACACTCATTTCAAAGAGGCGCACGGACCCACAGCTTACTTGCAATCTGACGCAGGGGCCCAAGCTGCCGCGACGAGCCAGGCTCAGCCTGACCCCAATGGGTGGGCTGCAGGGTCCTCCGGTTGGAGCACGACACGCAATCGTACACGTTCCGGTGTTTTGGTGCAATTCACCGCTACTTACTGGTAACCTATTCAGAGAGTGATCGGACTTCTAAACCGCCCCCACCCGGACATGTGAACAAGCCTACAGCCAGGTGCTTTGTGGGGGCTCCGATATAACAAGGCTGCCCCGGGGACAGGCTCGGTGATGGGAAATCCTGCCATTTTCAGGAAGAATAGGTCAAGGTTTTCAGTCGCTGCTATTCTTGCTTCTAAAACGTAATCCTCTTGGGAGCATTTTCCCACGGCTTCAGCTTGCCAGGGACGGCGGGCTCAGCCCTGTGCTGTGCCGGGTTGGGGTTTTGCCTGTTTTCCAGTAACTGGGCTTTAAGGCGCCAGGCGGTGGTGGCTCCGGTTGGAATTATCCGTATGCCAGATGCTGGCAAGGTTTATGCCCTCAATTTGCCTGTCCAGTGGTCCTTCGTTGGTGATGTGCTATGACTTTGACACTGAAACAACTTCTAACATACAGCCAAGATCAAGCTTCTGAGTTATTTTTAAGTTTAGAGGGCATTCTTCAGTCGTACAAAGTTACGAGTCTGTCCTCTAGAAGGCGAAGTGAATTGTACGGGTTCCCTCCCGTCTTTATTACCCCCAGGTTCCTTCCCCACTGGGAGGTGGGAACAGGTGGGAGGGAGGGGCTCGGCCTGCTCGGCCCCACCTGGGCCTGGGGTGGGGGCGGTGGAGTTGAAAAAACTGAAGAGCCCATTGTTAGTAGATGGGGGGCGGGTATGTTTTGAGGCCCATGTTGTGAAAATGCTGGCTTTTGGTGCAAGGGCCCTATAGATACTTTTAAACTTATATTGTCACAGAGCAGACGACCCCACACGTGGCAGCCCTGCCGCCCCTGGGTTCCCCGGAACCCAGGTGAGTGACGCCTCAGCAGCCGCCCAAGGCAGCTGGAGGCCTGCACCTCGTGGTGGGGGGAGCTAATAACCCTCAGGACAGGCAGCTCTGGTTCAGCCGGAGGGCTTCCTGGAAGAGCAAAGGCAGGGGATCCCCCGTGGGGTCGGAGCACTTGTGTTTCTGCTCTGCCCTACGCGCCAGCTCCTCTTCTCTGGGGGGGTTTCTGGGCCTGGGGGTGTCAAAGGCTGAAAGAATAGACTCAGTCACAAAAGCAGGAAGTGCTAGGCTGTGCCAGAGGCTACTTACTGGTGGGTGACGGGGGGGCTCCAACCAATGCCCACCTGCTCTGTCCAAGCCCCTCACTGCCCAGCGGGTGCGGCGCTTCTGGGCCCCATGGCCTCCCTGGGTCTGAAGCCCGGCTCTCCCGTTTACGGGGCTCCCTGACCCTGGATGGTTTAGTCTCAGTTTCTCCGTAACGCCGGCTATTGGAGGGCTAACCAAGTTAATAAGTGCCAAGTGCGCAGCATGGACCCTGGCCTGTGGTAAGTGCTTAATAAGTGTTAGATGTGTTATTGTTACTAGTATTAGGTTCCAGCTGTCGGAGCCTGCCAGCCCGGGCAGGAGAGCCTGAGGGGTCAGGGCACAGCTGTCCGGGCAGGGCCTCGTGCAGGCAGGCGGTGCCTGGCCTGGGCAGCTGTGTCCTGGCCTTGGGCAGCCCTGCCTCAACTTCTGACTAAGAGGCGCCACCTGAAGTTGGTCTGTTTGGGACCAGGTCTCAGAGAACATTAAATAAGGACGTTGTATGGCTTTTCAGTAGAGCTACAAAGGTCTGAATAAGGTGTGAGAAGCCCTTGAGAAGGTCACGTGGCTGTAGGAGCAACAGCGAAGGTCTTGGCCAAATCGCTCTTCTCTGGGCCAATGTTTTTCCCACCTGCCCAGCGTGGGGGTTGGGTTGGTTTTGAGGCGGCACATCGGCTTTCCTTGTATGGCCACTCCCACTGTCGGAGCCCAGAAATCGGAAGCCCCTTTGGCCTGGGCGGGAGGGCTCTTAATGGATTCGTGATGTCCGCACGAGGCCAGGCAGAGGGCAGCACTGGCCCTCCCTGGGTTAGCCCAGGGGCCCTCAAGCCTGGTCGCCCCTTGGAACCACCAGAGGTGCACCCCCTAACGTGGGGCCAGGCTGAGCACTGCCAGGTTAGACGTGCCCAAGTTCCTCGCAGCCCTGCGCTCTGTGCCTCCTCGGCACGGTTGTCTCCCAGAGCCCTGAGCTTTCTTCCAGCAGAAGCGACGGGGGAGTTAGAAGGCCAGCCTTCTGTCCGTTTTATTGCTGGGGCAGCTTTCTCTTTAGGTTGGGAGATGGAGGCCGAGGGCACGGGCTGCCACCAGGGACTGGTGTGGCCGGGACACACTGTGCGGGTGTGTGTGGGGGAGGGGCTGGGCTTTGGGTCTGGGCGATTTCCCAGGCTTCAGAAAAGCCAGGCTTCCTCTGCCTTTATCAGGGAAGCCCCGTGGATGGCTCGGTCTCTCCTTTAAGCTCCTCTCAGCCCCCGGGGGTGGGGGGAAGTTGGGGTGCTGCAGAGGCTCACGGAGGCCTGCAGGAAGCAACGCACCCCAAACTCACAGGCCCCACCTCTGGGCCTTTGGAAGGCGTACAGCGGGGAGAAGGAAGCCGGTGAAAGCTGACCGGGTGCTGAGATGGAGGATGCAGGGCCGGGGTGCCAGGCTTGGGGCCGGTGCATCAGGACCACGGGCGCCCCTGGATGCCAACGTCTCCCAAGACGTTTCTGGGAGACCCGGCCTCAGCCCCTCCATTGGGCCCAGAGTCCAGCCAGCTTTCCTCGGCCCCTTCAGGAACTCCAAAGAGCAGGTCATGGGGGCTTTGTCTCCCACCCGGAGCAAGATAGAAGCAATCAAATAACATAGAGTTCGATACTATTTTAAAATAAGCTTTATTTAGATTTTTTTAATATTTTATATTTGCATCCATGCCTTCGAGAAACCTTGCCCATGGGAAAGGTTATTTTCATCTGGCGTTACCCATAACTCATTTGCTATTTGATGTCGTTCTCTTAAATAAATCATCCTTAGGAACTCTTAGAATTGTCTCCTAATTTACAAAAAGTGAAATGAAAAGGAACTACTAAATCATTACCAGGAGCCGTTGCCATCTTACTTTCTCGGAAGGGAAAAACAGTACAAATCAATCAAAAGGAAAAAAAAATTCACGGGGCAGGAGAAGTGTTTTCTAAAATCTCTCTCTGCTGAGGAAGGTGCCAGGTCTCGGTCTCTCCGTGAGGAGGCCAGAAAGCGCCTTATTAGGTGCCTGGCCGGGTCCTTCCCAACCCCCACCAGGTCAGGAGGAAAGGGAGCCACCGGCTGGGGCTTTTCTGTTTGTTTTAGAGACTGGGGACAGTCTCTGTGAGATGCTCCGGCATCTGAAAATGTTGTTTCTTGGTGAGAGCCGACCGTGTTACAGTTAGCAGAAAGCGCAACTACTACTGTTTAGAGGGTGTGTGAATTGAGCTGTTAGTAGTTAAGGGGGAGGACTGGGTGGGAGGCACGGGGTGGGGGGGAATTCACCCCCCAAAAGAAAAGGGAAGCTAGTTTGCAGCCCCGGGGAGGCCCTGGCTTCTAGCTCATGTGATCTCTATCACCCCATGTTTAATGCACACGGTTCCTTGATGGTGACGCCTCACAGGCCAACTCTGTTCCCTAAATAGGCAGATGCTCCTGCCAGCTCTCTCTCCTGGGGTGACTGGGCTCAGGCTGCCTAAGGGACCCCAAGAGATTCTGCCAGGTGTGGCAGCAGGAACCAACCAGAATGGGGAGGGCGTGGGCCCTGGTCCCGACACTGTGTCCCCCACAGCCCTCCCCTTGAGGCGAGAGCCTCCCCAGTGACACCTGCTGGTCAGTGTGCAGAATAACCCACGGAGGAGAGAGACAGAGCCACAGGAAGGAATGTAAGCCGCTGGAGGACCCCCGTGGGGCCGCTTGGCCGAGGGTCCCCTGCGGTCATACCCTGTGGCTGTGCAATTGGCTATCTCCCCCGTATATTCACGCTCACTCCGAAGACAGACCCAAGAGACAGTCACCAGGAGAAGGCGACTCTTACAGGACGTGCTCTGCTCACTGAGCTCAGCGTTTTGTAGTTCAGGTAAATAAATACATAGAGAATGGCCCAGAGAGAGCTACGGGCAGGAAGAGAGGTGGAGCGCACCTCCATGCAGGGGTGGAGGAATGCGGGGAGAGAGAGGAAGAAATAACGGAGAACAGCAAGCTCTGAGACCCCACGCACCCCGGGTTCTGGCCACCCTAAACTCTACCTTGCGAAGTTTGGCAGCAGCAGCGTGATAAGAGACTAGACAGGCCGACAGGAACACCCACCTCCCACTGCCCACCCCCCCACCTCATGGAAAAATATACATTCCAATATTTATGTAATAATTTAGATAGAATAAGTCTTCTGCATTTGTGCAAATAAATTAAACGGAACAATGTTCTTTTTCTTTTGTTTCCACAAAGAAAGAAATGGCAAAGCAATGTAAAAACCGGCAGGCCATTGAAAGGAGCCCATTTGACCTCGGCAAACCCGGCTAAGATGAGGCCCCTTGGCCGGGTTTTGAGAGTCTCGCGGAGAGCAGACCTTACCCTGACGACGGTGGCGTTTTGTGGTTAAAGTGACTTGGGCGCGCCCCGAGAACAGGGTCTGGTCCCACGTGTACACACGGGGGTGGGGGTGGGAGCAGGGAGGGGAGGACATAAAAAACAGACCACATCCTCGGGCAGACGGGCTCCAGAAGTAGCAGTGTGGACGAGGGACATTTACAAGCACGGAGTGCACAACAGGTTTTTGTTATTTACAAATACACAGCAGTCCTTCAAGTTTTCAAGTTTCATAAAAACGGGGGTGGGGGGGTGGGGAAAGGGAGAGGAGAAAAACCCCAACGAACTGAACGAAAGGAAACATTGGAAAAAAAAAGAAAAAGAAAAACAAAAACAAAAAACCAAAACGAACCCAGATTAACAACACAACCGTATCGCGCCAGAGATGACAGAGTTGACATATTAACACACGTCTGTAGTATGTACATCAATTACAAAGGTGGCGACGCACGGGGGAGGGGTCACACATGTTTGCACCTGGCCACACCCCAATCCCGCGCGCCCCATGCACGCACGCACGCCCCTGCGTGCCCCATGCACGCACACACACGTCCACACGCACTGACACGCCTGCCCGGAAGCAGGCCAAGGGAGGCGGGTATCACCAGTCCGCGTCCTCCTCTATGTAATAATCAGGGGCGGTACCATCAAAGAGGCCGGGGTCGAGGGACTTCCGCTGCTTCCCTCTGGCGAAGACGCGGGAGATGGAGCCGAATCCCATCTTCTCTTTCTTCTTTTTCCGTTTTTGGTCTTCAAGATCCTCTAGTGACTGAGGAGTCGGGGCCAAGCGGCAGGAATACAGGGGAGAAGAACAAAGCCAACTTGAGCTGCGGGCACAGCACAGGAGGGGTGGGGATGTCCAGGGTGGGGGGCGGGGGTCACCCGTGGTCAGGGATGCCAGGGTCTGCCTGGCACTTGAGGAGGAACCTTGGGCCAGTTACCCAAGACTGTCATGAGGATGTCACTGAAGTAAGGACACATAATCAGCCTCTCATAATGGGTAGCTGCTGGTAGTGTGTGCAGCATCATTTAAATTGTTGGCCAGCACTTTCCAGTGCCCCCTGAGGGCTTGCAGGAGCGTGTGCATGCACTGGGCTGTGGGCCAGCCACAGGTCCTGCCTGCAGGGGCATGGGGCAGTGGCACCAGTCCCTGTGAAAAAGTCCCTGGGGAAAAGGGGGGCTGGGGGAGCCTGGAGCTTGAGGATGAAGGAGACCTGAGCTTTAGCCAGGAGGCTGGGGCTTGAGTTCTAGTCCTGCCTGCAGGATAACTATGGGGACTTGGGGGCTGGTGTCTGCGTGAAAGCTCTGCAAACTGTCACGTGTGTTGCACAGACAGGGGACATCATTCTCCAACAGAAAGGTAGGGGCTAGACTAGCCCAATGGTTCCCAAAATACATTCCTCAAATTCCAGGCCTAGTGCACACCTGGTGGGACAGAATCTCCAGGGTGACGGGCCCAGGAATCTGCATTTGGGGAACTTCCCTGGTGGACCCTGATGGGACAGACAGGTGCACAGGTCATCATGAGAGAGCCCCAGGACCTGAGACTGACCCCTCTGACCCTCGGATTCTTGTTGTTTTCCTCCCTGCATGTCCCCTTCTTGTCCTGGTGGCAGACTATTGAAATGTGAAAAATGAACGAAAGTTTCCTCCACCGAGGGGCCCAATGAGCTCGTGGCTTGGGTCATCAGACTTTGGCTGCCAAGAGAGAGGACATTACCAGAGCAGCAGGGTGCGGTTAGTGTGATGCACTTAGTAGGTTTACAGGTTCAGAAGGGGGCACGGAAGGACAGACCCAGTGGCAGGTCTGATTCAGGCCCTAGTCCACATGTGACTCGCAGAGTGCTGGAACTCCTGTCTGCCCCGGGTGCCCAGGTATGGGAAGTGGGGACCCTGGGGGCCCAGGGCCAAGCGAAGGCGCACCTACCTGTACAATAGGGTTGTGCAGGTTCTTCTGAACTGGGCCGGGACTGTCGCCCTGTAGCCAAAGGAGAAGAAGGAGATGAGACAGCAGAGACGCGGACACATGAGCGCAGAGGTGGCCCGCGAGGCATGGGCCCTTCCGTGAGAGGAGGCCATCCCTTAGGGGCCACCCTGCCTCTGAGTGGGGAGCTCGCCCCCCACCCCTTGAGCAGACGCTCCCAGATGGCTGAGTGGGGAGGGCCTGGGGCTCACGGAGGTGCTGTCTGGATCAGGGGTCCTAGTCTGAGGCCCTGGGGTGCTCTCCTGCCTGCTCCGGCCTCTTGAACCCCAACACCCTCTGAGTAACAAAGCAGTTACTTCACAGCTTCTGAGTTTCTGTCTCAGTTGGTTTATTGTGTTGGAACTGGAGGTTGGTTATACTTGGTGCTTTTCCTAAATAAATATGATTTTATAGAAAAGAGCATAAAAGCAAAGAATTTTGGAACAAGAAGACTCGAGAGACTCTGTAGCCTCGAACTCCCCCCGCAAACACAATGAATCACTTATTTTGTGAAAGGGCAGAAGGATTCATTAGCCTGATTTACAGATACACCGGCTCCACACAGCCCAGTTATCATGGAGCTAATTAAAAGCAGAGCTACAATGCAAATTTGGGACAGTCTGGTTCCTCCTGGCCTAGCTCCTCTCCCTACGGTGCACAAAAGTGCACGTGCAAAAGCCTTCACAACAGGCCACAATCAGTCTGTGCTGCCTGGGGGCCAGCAGATCATTTCCATCACAAAAGCCATTGCTAGGGAGACCCCTGGCGGTTGCTTCCAGAATTGCAGGCAAAGGGCCCATGAAAAACAAAGTCTGTATCACTTGCCACATCCATCAACTTTCTGCAACCGTCTCTGTGCAGAGTCACCACCTGGCCACCTCAAAAGTAGTGGCCAGAGCACAAGAGGATGAGGAGGGGGGTGTTCTTAGTCCAGATGTGGCTGCTCTTGCTGCTGTCTGGTCACACGACTGACAACAGAGGGCTACCTGGGGCTACTTTCGAGCTCCTCCTGGCCTCCCTATGTGCACATCTGTTGACGTATGGAATGAAGGTAGTTGAGGGGATGGCAGGAATGGAACAAGTGATAGTTTGGTCTTTAGTCCTGTCTCCAGGTTTACAAACAGAGCTCACAGCAGGCAGCTAAGACAGGCTTACGCTGGGTAGGGCCACCTTTGCTAAATCTATGGGGAAAAGAACGAGGCCAGTGCCCACCGCAATGTACCCAGACATCCGGCTTATCAAAGCACCCATGCCCCGGAGGCAGGGCCCTGTCTAAAGTGAACTTGGAAATACATGTGCTCAACCTGCTGCCTGTAGCAGCAGGTATGTGCCAAGGCCAAGTTGGGCAAAAGGCTAGGTCTGTGCCAGAGCAATTCCACAGGCCTTTAGAGAACGCTTTCTGCAGAATGCGTTTTCCAACAGTGTTCTGGCTGTCAGAGCCCCTTTGGGCCCATCAGGGGAAGACACACACACACAAAAGGCCCTTGAGAAGTTATTCCCATTTGGGCTGTGCACAGATACTCAGGGCGCTGGGCCACGCCGTGAGAGGCTGGCTTCTCAGAACCAGGGGACAGATGCCAGAGGGGCCCCTCTAGAGGACCGCCTTCTTCACCTTGGCTCTGTCAGTCAAGACAGCCTGTGTCACCAGGGTGCCCTCCTGGGGAGGAGAGAACACACTGCTTCCTTTTAGAAAGCCCCAGTTAAAAAACCACCCAACCCTTGGTGAGGCCCCAGGCCTGGCAGCTACCTTCTCTCCATTATGAAGCAGGCTGGATAAGGGCCCGAGAGCCTGCTGCCCGTGCACCAGGCTGCGGCGACTTACTTTAAGTTCAGCCTTAGCGACTTTTATAAGTGCTTTTCATTGTTATTGTAGAGAGAAAAAAATGTTTCCATTGTGGTTACTTGAATACAGGACAGCTACTGATTTTTATAAATTGATTTTCAACCAGTACTGTTATGTACTAGCTTATTATGATTAGTTCCGAGGCTTTTCAAGATTATTCTCCTGAGTTTTCCAGGTAGATAATTGTATCATGGCAAGTAAGGGTTATTTTGTCTTTCCTTCCCACTGGATTCATCTCATTTCTTTTTTTATTATCCATTTTGCTACATTCATTGAGTTTTTGAGAAAGCCTTCTGGTGCACTTAAAGACCTGCTCTATTTTGTCTGTCTTCGGGTCCTGCAAGGGACCCCTGTGTACCCCCAACCACGTGCTGGAGCAGGAGTGAGGCGTGGCCCTACCCCCAGCCTTTCCTATTAGAGCCTAGACATGGCGTCCTCCTGACCTCTGACCCTTGACCCACCTGCACTCACCCCTGTCCACCCCCTGCTGTGGGAGCCTCTCCTGCCTTACTGGTCATCAAGAGTTAGGTGACTGGGGATACGGGCCTCTTGGTAGCTGGCACCCAGTATGCAAGCACAAAGGGTTTGATTAAATAAGCAAACACACTTGGAACAAATTCACGGACACCTCTCCAGAGCTTCACATCAAAGCTTCTGGAAGCTCAGAAAAACCTGGCTCGTTCCTGGATGAAGACTGGGCACTGGCCCCACAAGGAAATGCTGAGCTGCAGGGGGTCACGTCTGGCAGAAGCCCACGGTCTCGGCTCGGACACAGCCCACCAGAGGGAGCCCCGGGCTGCACAGACCCCATGGCCGACCCCGGCCCGCCTTCCTCTGGATTTTCCTTGCCCTCCCGGACACAGGGAGCAAATGGGCCTCCTCTCTTTCTCTCCCCACATCCATCTCTTCTTGCAAAAGGAAAGAACAGAACAGGAAATGCCTCCGCCAGAGTGCTCCCTGGGTGGACGAGAGGAAACAGCGAGTACTTCTGCACCCCTCCACCCGCCCCCGCGGGTTTCGGGCAGGGCCCAGGGCCGGGCCCTGCGGCTGCTGGCCTTACGTTGCAGAGGGAGTGCGTCCGGTGTCGAGGGGAGTTGATGTCGCTTGGCGTGGATGACCGGTCGCCTTCCGCGGCGGAAGCGTCAGAGATGACAGAGGGCTGCCGGGAGTGGCAGGGGCTCACCCTGACCGCTGCAAAGCAGGGACAGTGAGAAGTGAGGGATGGAGGGACTGTCCTCACCTTCACTGCCTTGCCGGTGACTCCACCGACGCCCCCATTATACAGATGAGAACACTGAGACATAGAGGGGACACCTGCCCAGCTCTCCACCCCTCTATTCCACAGCCCCACTCGTGGTCAGCAGCTTCCAGAAGAATCTCCCACCATGGCTTTGGGATCCAATTAGGCACCCTCTTCACAGGTGAGGGAGGGGAAGAGGCAGAGTTTCCAGGGACCTCAGTGACTGTCCCCACAATGCTGCCACCACCTGGACGATCCCTAAACCTGCTGGTACACACCAGCTTCCCAAGCAAGAAGTCTTGAGGCCACCAGCAGCTCCAGCTCCTCTCTTTCTGCCATACCGGGTCATCACCAGGGCTTCTCAACACAACCCCAGACATGCCCGCTGCTCTCCAATCCACTGTCATGTCCTTCGCCGCCCCCCCCCCCCCACCCCGAGCCCAAGCCTCACACTGCAGAGAGAGCCAGCCATCTGGTCACTCTGGGGGTCAAACGGCTCGCTGCTGCTCCTGGCCATGGAGGCCGGAGGGAGGACATCCCAGCCCAGCCCCCCGGCCTCTGACTGTGCCCGACACGCCGCCCCCCTCCCGTCTCCGTCTTTGCTGGCCCTGCTGCCCAGCGGGCACCTTCTCATCTTTCAGGCCTGTCCCGAAAGAGGCCTTCCTCAATGACCAGCTCTCCCACTGTCCCGTTTTCCCACCAAAGCACCTGTTTTCTGTTCATTTCCCTCCTGGCACTAACTACCATCTGTCATCATTCCGTAAGTTGGTTTAGGTACATGGTGTTGACTCTCTTCACACCTACAACGTCAGCTCCACCAGGACAAGCACCCCGGGTGCCCGATCCACACTGAACCCGAGCTCACGGTGCTTGGCCCGTAGTAGGTGCTCACTCGATAGTCGTTGACTGAAAGGCTCAGCTGGAAGCCTGCACCAGACTGCACCCAGCAGACTGCCTTCCTGGGTGCAGGTGCAGGAGTTGGGTAGAGGAAGCATGTTGTTCCCCAAGACTGACTGAGCACCTACTATGTGCAGGTGGCATGTGGGCAGGTAGGACTATACCACTGAGAAAGACAGCCCTTGCCGCCAATGCCATAAGGCCAGGGAGGGGTGGGGTAGTGGCACAGAGGGGCTTTGGAGCCAGAACTTGGGTTCCCAGCGAGGTGATGTGACAGCAGGACTTCAGGGCTCCAAAGGCCAGCTGCCTGCTCCCAACCTGCATGTCACACCAAGGCAGCCACTCACAGGAGTGACAGAGAATGGAGCCAGGTGGGCTGCAGGCATGTAGAGTTTGGAGCCTGTGCTGTGGCCAGTGGGTGCAGATGCTGCCCAGAGGCTGGGTCCTTCCTCTGCCCAGTGCCTACAGTGAGCACCTGTGACCTTTACTTCCGGCCTTCCCACACATCCTGGGGTTGTGTGGAGCTGTCAATCAAGGAGCTCAGCCGTCTCCCATGCTGAAGAATCATTGCGCTGGCTGCCTAGACACAGTGATTGGTCCTGGGGGCGCATGTGACTCAGGCTGGCCAATCAGAGTCCTTCTTTGGGATTTGCTATGGACATAGAGATAGTTTCCCCTTCTCAAGGCTTTTGAGCTGTAAGCTAAAATCGTGGAACTGTTTGCTGCCTTGTGGAGAGAGACAAATTCAAGATGAGGCCAACGGGAGGCAGGAGGAGCTGTGAGACAGACGGACGCAGGTATCGTCTAACAGGTGGGATGCACCTGTGTCTGAGGTCCACCTCTGGGACTGCTCAGTTACCTGAGCCCATGGCTTCCTCTCCACACTCCCCTGAGCAGCCACTGTGCCTTCCCCACTGGGGCAGACGGCCGCCGGAGAAGCCCCCACAGCCGTGGCTGGGCCAGGACTCACCTTGCCGGTCTGCAGGGTGGGGGGGATGCGAGTGGTAGAGAGTTTGCTGGCTCTGCCGGATGGCTGCGGTCAGCGGCAGGTCCGCCTGCACCACCCACTCCTGGTTGCCGTTGAGCACCGTCTCGCCCGGCATGGCCAGTGAATGCCGCTTGGGGACGTCCTTGGTCAGCGTAGCTAAAGACTGCTTGGCCTGGAGAGAACCGGGAGACAGGAAGGGGCCGACGTGATCAAGGGGGCATCTTGGCCTGCTGCTCGGCCATGACCCACCATCCTGAGAAACCCATGGACGGACCTGTGTACCAGGGCATCTGCGGCGCTGCCTTGAGTGCCCATCAGTAAGTTGGGCACCTGCACGGCAGGCCTCACCTGGGTGTCACCCCTTAGTTCCTGACACCAGAGTGAGACCAGCAGTATGGAGAGAATGAGGGGCACCACACACTCATCACCCACTCTTTGGGGTTCTGCAAGGACTAGCTGGGACTCGCAGGGCAGTGTAAGACAATGGTGCTTTGGCATCCATCCCCTTAGCTCCCCCCCAATTCAACCTGTGGTCTCCCCTTCACCAGGTGCTGTGCAGTGCAGGCGGAGGACAGGGCAAATCCTCAACCTGGCTCTCAGGGTCACACGATGAGAAGGCAGGGGACACGGGGATGTGCAGGGACCAGTGTGGGGCTGGGTTGGGGTGGGGTGCGTGGGGACAGCTCTTCCTTTATCTGGTGACTGAGGTCTCTTAGTTTTGGGCTACCTCCCCCAGGATACGTGGGGTTTTATTAGAAATAATCTCAAATTATTGTGGGGAGAAAAAGGGGACACGTAGATGGGCCCGAGGGCCCCACACCGAGATCTCCGGTGAATCCCGTGCCCCAGTGAATCTGAGCCACTGCGGTGCTGGCTGTGCCCTAGTATAAGCACAGATACAGTAAAACCTTCATCTCATCTCTCCTGCTCCAGAACTTTCCAGGCCTTGCCTAAGGCCTCAGATGCTTCCTGGCAGAACGGAGATTCCAGCCAATAAATGGACAGTCGGTGGCCAAGGGCCCCACACGCCCTCAGCACTGTGTTATTTCAGACAAGTCACTGCCTTCTGAGCCTCCATTTCCGCACCATGAGAAGCCCGAAACAAGTGACTCAGAGGCGCTCTCTGGCTCAAAACCCCAGGAGTCTGTGAAATTGGCCCCCTTCCACTCCCAGCCCCCGGGGCATATGAACCTGTTGGGCAGAAGGAAGTCCAATTGAGGGTGTTGGCCCCCCTATCAAGCCCAGTAATAATCTCCTCCATCGCTCAGAAGACCTTCAGTGCAAAAGTCCTGAGTCTCAGGGAGGGGGCGTGGAATTATCTGTGCCCGAGAAACCAGAAGCTCAGAGGAGTGAAGTGTCTTCGCCAAGACTGGACGGCAGGCACAACGTCCGAGCTGGGGTCCAGGCCTGGGTGTCTGGCTGTGAGCCCCTGTGGGTTCCCCGATGCCCACACCGCGCTGGGCCCAGAAACGAAGCAGACTTCGCGGCGCAGGCTCAGTCCACAAGGCAGAGAGCGGGGCGCGTCTAGTCCCCAGTCGCTGGCCTGGGGCTGGCATGACCCCTGAAGCACTCGGTGCGAACCTGCAGGACAGCCGGCAGCAGGCCTCCCTGTCCGCACCGGGGCTAACTCAGGACAGAACAATGGAGCGGTCCCTCTGCTGAGAGGGCGAGCGAGGCCGGGTGTGTCCCAGAGCTGCTCTGTGCCCGCAGCAGCACCAGTAGAAGAATCAAGCCTCTGGGCCCTCCACCCTGGCACCGCTCCTGGGGGCCGCTGCTCCTGGGGGACGCCCTGCTCCCTTCTTCCCGCCCAATCCATCTCGGCTGCCCCGGAGGTGGACACGGGAGACAAATGAGCCCCCATGGGCATCTGCTGCCCTGTGGTGATGAGCCCTCTGCTCTGTCCTCCGGCAGCACCACTGGGCTTGAACAAAGGAAGCACGAGCTGACCCTGAAACAAGCCGCCTTTTACGGCAGCACAGGAAGAGGCCCGGGCAGGGTCACTCTCCTGTCCCCACAGGCGTTCTTCTCCCAAGTGGAGCCTCGCCCAGTGGGGACTTGGAAGGGCGCCTTCCACTCAGCCGGCTGTCTGACGTCACTGCTACCTGACAACTGGGAGGTCCCCTGTGGCTGGTCCTGCGGGATGGAGTGTTTGCCTGGGAGTTCTGAAGCACAGGATCCTCTCCCAAACTGCCTGTCGTGCCGTTAAACCTCTGACATGGAGCCACGACACAGGACCACAAGCGAGGCACGTGGCATCTTATTTAAACCTTCCACACCCGTTGGGCTCTGCCATGGCTGCTCCCGGCCGCAAGTCCCACGGCGTCTCTGACTAATCTCTCCCACTAAATGCAGCAAGACACCGGGAACTCTGACACCCTCTCTCATCTCTGACCCCTGAGTCTGGAGCCCCTGGGAACTGGTGAGTCGCTCCCATGACACAAAAGCCAAAACACAGCTTGGTTCAGACTCCACTTCTACAACTTAGTTGCTGTGTGACCTTGAGCAAGTCAGTCCATGACTGAGCTTTAGGGTCCTCACTGGTAAGTAAGCTGGGGAAACTGAAAGGGAGCAGGTCCGTGTAAACAGCGCCCCCTGGAGGTGTGCAATGAGAGGGCCTGGCATAGCACTTTGGAACTTGGGCTCTGAGACCAGACTGCCTGCGTTTGATCCCAGCTATGCTGCTTCGTAGCTGAGGGCTCCTGAGAGAGGCCCCTCACCTCTCCACGCCTCTGTGCCCTCATCTGCCCAGTGGGAGGAACGTGGCTGCAGTGGAGGCTGCTTGGTCCATGGTACAAACACTCAGGAAATTCAAGTGACTGTTATTATGAAACAGTGTCTATTGTCACAGTCAACAGTAGCAGCCACGATTTAGGATTATTTACCTGCTCTCTAATATCAGGCGACAAAAGCCGGGAGGCAGGAGGGGAGAGCAATGCAGGGTGCAGCCCTCACCCACCCTCTGGATAAGGTCAATGGAGGCCCCCAATTGCCTGTACGGTCTGCTGGTCCGGAGGCCGGGGCGTGTGTCCATGTCAGAGAGTGAGCCTGGCCCCGAGGGAGGCCGAGTCCTGCTGACCTGCATCCTTCACCGGCTTTTCAAGAGACTCCTGCCTGTCTGGGGAAGGCCTTTCCAGGCCAAAGGGTGGGAGGAGCTGGGGGGCAGGAACTTTCCAAAGCAGGAAACTGGCTGCTGCCCTCCACCTTCCCTCCGTGCCCGTGAGCTCCTGACTTCCTCCGTGCACACCCGCCTGTGCGCTGACACTGGCCAGAGCTGTGTTCTGGGACGTGCGGCCCAAGGACGGAGGCTACGGGCAGGAAGGTCCCTGCCCTCTGGCCTCTCCCCGGCCGGCGGTGCAGTAGGGGGAGCTGGACAGCACTGCCTGGGGCAGGCAGCCCTGGAGGCCTCCAGGTGCTGAAACCCCGTAGACAGCAGGCAACAGAGGGGACCTCCGACCAGGTGTGCACCCCAACAACTCTGGGGCTGTCCGGGTTCTTAGGAAAGCCCTTTCCCTCTGCATCTGAGCCCTTTTCCTTGTTACAGCAAATCCATCACCTGAGCTATAAACATTCACCCGCACTATTCACACCTAGAGAGGCGCGATGCCTGCTGAAAGGAGGAGGCAAGAATCTGAATTTTGTTGGCCAGGACAGAAGCGAGCTGAGTAGTCTGGGCCTGGGGACGGTGGAAGCAGAGGCAAGATGGCTCATAATCCCAACAGACCCCGGATGCCCCGGGATGCTTGAGGCCAGTGCTCCCAGGTGCAGAAGACGTGTCTGTCTGCCCACAGGGCACTGGAAAGATTGGGGAGAGCAAGGGCCTTGCTCCGCCTTGCACCAGGGGAGCCAGCACTGGGAACCCACCTCCACCCCAAGAGAAGACCTGACGGCTGCAGCTTCTTCCGGCCCTGGGCAGTTATCACCACTAGGGGTCAGCATCCCACAAGGAGGGCGCTGAAGTGGTCCCCAGAGAGAGATCCCCAGATCCTGACCAGCCCCCGGGGAGGCCATGGTCCTGAAGGGAGTGACCATAGAGAACCTTCATGTCTCCTCATATCATCACTTGCCACATACAGGCACCACGCTAAGGACTTCCCTGGCATTATTTCATTGAAATGATCTCACAGAGCCCTGTGAGAAGGGTCCTGCCCAAGGTCACACAGCTACAGGGTGATAGGGCTGCCCTTGAACCCAGAACCCATGGCTGTGACCACCTTGTTAGCTCACATCAGTGCTCTGCAGGGCCTCCCCACCCCGTGGGGGGCTCCCTAGAGTTTCCCAGCCACCTCGTGGGGCAGACTGGATGGAGTAAAGACCCTCAGCTCCACCCCAGCACCTGATAAAGGGCAGTGAAGCCCAGAGAAGTTCATCGAGCAGCCCAAGGTCACACAGGAGCAGGCAGAACAGAACTCAGGGCTGCGGACCTCGGTTTTTCTGCCAGGCCCCCGGACACTATTTGGGCTCTCTGTCCCCACAGGTGGGCTGCGCACCACTACAGATAACACGGTGTTTGGAAGTATTCTGAAGGTTTGTTTAAGATTAGAAAAAAGTTACACCTTTCCCCCTGATGACCCAAGGCAGTCATTCTCACTATAGATGAAAATAGGGCCAAAAAAAAAAAGGAAAAAGGAAAAAAAACCCAAACTCAACTTGTAATCCTAGTACCCAGAGATAACCATTGTTAAAGTTTTTGGTGTATTTCCTCCTAAATGTTTACCTAAACAAATATGTATATTTTAAACAAAAATGGGCCTTTTTAAAAAAATAGTAGTCTGGGGAATGCATAAGAGTGGATGGGCTCCTAGCACTCCACACCTGGGGCCCTCTTAGACAGATGAGTGAAGAAGATGCCAATCACCACAAACTCCGTCCCCAGCCACGCCCTTCCCCCCTCATGCTCTGCCTGACTCTGATTCTTGGATGAACCAAGGTCAGCGCCCTGTCTCCCAACACAGCCAGCACCTGAAGGGGGTGTTGGGAAGGGAGGGGTCTCACCATGGCCAGCTCAGCCTCCAGCTCCTTCATCCGGTTGTCCTTGAGGTCCAGCTGGGAGCGCAGCGCCGTGGCGTGGTCCGTGGCCTCCTTGGCTTGGCGCCGGAGCTCCCACTTCTCCCGCTCCAGCAGGTCCTTCTCCTTAGCCAGAGCTTTGACTGCGTCCTCGCTCTCCTGCAGGGGGAGAATGAGGGGGCGTCACCACGGGGGTGTGGGGCCTCCTCTCGCCCAGAGATGCCCAGAGGGGCCTTGACTCCTGACCACAGGAAGACGTGGGAGGCCCTGCCGCCTGTGGCTAGGAGCTCAGGCTCTGCGGTGAGGACACCCTGGGTTCAAATCCTAGACACACCACAAACTAGCCGGGAGATTGGAACAGAGGTAAACCATTAGCAGATGCTCAGGAAATATTTCTCAACGACTAAATGAGGAAGTGCTTGTCATGGGTGCATTGTTTCATCGTCTAGTCCCGGTTTCTCTGTATTTAAAATTACGGGGCGGGGTGTCAATACTACATATTTCAGAGAATTATTAACGAGACTGAACGTGTGAGGGAGGCATCTGAACAGACTGTGACAACAGTGAGGGTGAATAGTGGGCTTGGGGCTTTGTTTTGTTGTTCGGTCACATGCCTGTCACTGGGAGACAGGGACAGAGAAGGGAACACCTGCAGCCCGGTCTCCTTGGCTGCCATGGGGTCCTGCCCCCACCCTCCTCCGTCACACGCGCTCACTCTGTGGGAGCAGGGGCGTGCACGCTCATGCACGGGCACACCCGGGCCCCAGAACGGCCGCCTGGCAGAGAGCCCCTCACAGACCCCGCCGATGAAGCGAACGCGCAGGACTCAGGTCAAAGGCCATCACACGGAGGCTCTGGCAGTGCAGGTGAGGCGAGGACACACTTCCTCCGTCACCAGTCCCCCGCTTCAAGGTGTGCTCCAGTGGCGGTGGTGCGGGGACAATCCCATCCAGGACTCGTCCCTGGCACCAGCACCCTGGGGTCAGGATGCCTGGGTGTGAGTCTCAGGCCAGTCCACTGCGAACTGCCGGCCACCAGCTATGTTGTTAACTCTCGGAAACCTTGACCCACTTAGGAGACAGTGACAATCCTACTCCCCGGGGCGATGGCCTCAGGAGTGACCGGCGATGCAAGGTAAGAGTGACTGTTATAGAGTCACCGGCCAGCTGCGCTCTCAGGTTCTGGAAGCGAGGAGCTGTGCTGATGGGGTCAGAGCGACAGGTGACAGGCAAGGCCCCTGGGGTCACACCATGGACTCAGCTCTTTCCGGCACCCACCCGGATGGCGAGCTCCTTCCCCGGGGCTGGGCCACGTCCCGAGCATCTGCCCCCGGCGCCCTGTAGCCACGCTGAGACTGTGGAAGGGCCCAGAAAGTGAAGTGTGGGTCTCAGCACCTGGGTGAGGACCGTGCCTTGGAACTGGCTCATGGGTGAGGCTGCTTACAAAATGTCCCTGAATTAGGAGGAAGGTCCACCAGGACCCTCAGGACCGTTTGTGTCTCTACGTCTCTTTGCAGGCACTGGATCCACTGGTCGTCAGCAGACCGAGGGCTCTGGGCTGTGGAAGGCCCCTAGGTGCTCTCGGGCTTGGGGAGGACTGCGGACACCGCCTCCCCCACCCCTGCCACGATCACACGCCCGGGCAGCAGCTGCCGTGAATGTTCTGTACACGGGTCCAGCATGGCGCTGCGGGGTTTAGGTGCATTATGATATATATGTATATATAGATATATGAGTACATATACTTTAAATCCTCACCAGAGGATTTTAGAGAGAGAGAAAGGGAGACACAGAGAATGTGAGCGAGAGACATGGACCAGCTGCCTCCCTGACTGGGGATCAAATCTGCCACTTAGGTATGTGCTCTGACTGGCGATCGAACCCACAACCTTCTCGTACGTGGGACAACACTCCAACCAACTGAGCCACCCGGCCCGGGTGCGCACTGTGACATTCGAACCTCACCGCCACCCACGAGGTGGAGTCACTTCCCCAGCCCCACAGGCTGTGTGGCGGAGGCCCCGGTCCCTGCTGGGAATGGAGGCAGGAAAGGAGCAGAAGGGAGACCTGCCTCGGGGTTCGGAACCACTGGGGGGCGGGGCAGCTGGAATCACGAGGCGGGACGTGGCCTCCCGTCCCCTTCCTCAGGACCTTCCTCCAGGTCCTCGACGTCCTCCTCGCCCACCGCTGGGCAAGCCGTTTGCCCTCCGAGCCCCAGCCTTGGCGGCTGGGCAAGCCCTGCACCACCACGTCACCATGGCTACGGAGTCACAGGTGATAGGAGTTTTTCAGTTCCACTGTAATTTCACGGGCATGGTTGTATGTGTGGTCCGTCACCGTTCAAAATATCATTACGTGGCACATGTTTTTGTCTATAGTCTGTATGTTTGTGTCCCGCCAAAATCCACAGGCTGGAATCCTAGCCCCCGATGTGATGGTGTAGGCGGTGGACCTCCGGGAGGCGCTGAGGTCGCCAGGGTGGAGCCCTCATAACGGAGACCCTGCAATGCTCCCGCACCCTTCTGCCACGTGCGGTCACAGCGGCAAGTCTGAGGCCTGGAGGATGACCAAGAAAACGGGCTGTGGCGGGCTCCCTCTCCACCTCTCTGCTTCCACAGATGTCCTCCTTATCGCCACATCTTGTCCACAAGTGACAGGCCGGGAGAGGCCAACTCTACAGGGACCCAGCTCACCAAATGTGCAGGTCGCAGGCAGCAGAAGCCCTGCTGCTTGGGCTGGCAGTACCTGGGATGACTGCAAACCCCAGCCGCAGTCAGAGGCTGTGAGAGGCCTGGCCTGGGAGCCCTGCTGGGCTGCGTCCACCACGTGTGGGCGGTGAGAGGGGGTCCGGGCGGACGAAGACCAGGGTGGGCCTTTCCATCCCCCCAGTCTCTGGCACTGTGGCCTCTCGGATCAGAGGCAGCACCCACGAGTGCACTCGTGCGACCGGCCCATCGAACCTTCCGTGGCCAGCAAAGCCGAGCACACCTGCAGCCTCCACTTTCTCCCCAGAGTGCGCGTGAGCCTGGGTCACCGCCCTTGCCATATGGTGTCCTGTGCATGAAGAGCAGGATTCTAGAGTTTCTGCCCCACACACCAGAAGGTTACAGCTCTCGCCCTGTAGATACAGTGGCTCATGAGGGCCTGCTTGGTTGGGGGGACCAACTCTTTTTTCTTTAAAAGTTGGTACCCTCTTCAGTGTGTCCACACCACATACACCAGGTTCCTCAGTTACCTGACTTAAACTCCTACCCACCCCACAGAGCCCAACTCATAGCCACCTCCTCTGGGAAGCCTGCCAAGATTGCTTCCCTGCATGCCGCATGCAGAATTTCCATCTCACTTGTGCCCCCCAGCTCTCTCTCCACACGTTTACCATGGTATCATTTGTAAGGTGCATAGCTAATGTTTAGTGAGCGCTTACTAGGCACTAGGCACCAGACTGAGCGCTCCCTCCGCATTCAGCATCTCAAGTAGTCCTTGTCACGTTTCTCCAAGGTCTGCGCCACATGCTCGGAGTAGCAGACGCGGAAACGGAGGCTCTGAAAGGCTGAGCTGTCCAGGGGCACAAACGGGGGGAGCTGGGGTCTGAACCTGGGCCAGCCTTTATCCAGAGTCCCACTGTCACCGATGGAGCCACCACGACCAGGCGTGTTCCATCTCAGTGCCCATGCCGGGCCAGACACGTGGAAGGCCTCCCCCAGGAGCATGAGGTGACATGAGCAGAGAGCGTGTGCTCTGGGACTCCAGAGGCCAGCCCATGAGGGGCGGTGGGGCAGGGAGCTGGTGTCTGCGGAGGAGGGCGGGGTGGGGTGGGGTGGGGAGGGGGGGCCCCTGACCTTGCGGTGCTGCTCGTAGTTCCGGATGAAGTCCCGCAGCTGCTCCTCGCGGCTCTCCAGGGTGGCGTAGAGCTGCTGCATCTGGCTCACCAGGTCCGTCTTCTCGCCCTTGAGGCGCTTCCGGTCGGCTTTCATGGCTGGGGGATGAAAGAGAGAGTGAGTTCCAGAGATCCGAGCTGTCGGTCAGCCCCGAAAGCTGAGAAGGGACCCTATTTCCATCCCCCTTTTAACAGATGAGGAGGTAGCATTCAGAAAGATGAAGCTTCTCTCCCAAGCTCCTATGCCACTCAGTGGTATTCTTGGGATTCGAACCCAGATCTGTATGTTCCTGGAGTCCCAGTTGTCACCTCTCAGTTTCACTGGTCCAACCAGAGGAGAGCAAGTCCTTGATTTAATGTCTATCCCTGCTTTGAACTGCCAGGTCCCCAGTGTGAAGGAGCTGGAGGCCTGGTGGGCCTGAGACTCCCATGGCCCCGGAAGCTGGTGGCTCCCTGATCCTGTGGCAATGACCCCCGGGGCTCCCCTGAGCCTGCCAGCACCAGCCAGCCCAGCCCACCAGTCCATCATCTGCCCCATTTCCTCCACGGGAACAGCATTTGATCAAAAACATGCGCAGCACATGACCCCCGGGAAAGCATGAGCAACAGAGGAAAAAACAGATACGCTGAAATTCATCAAAATTAAAAACTGTTATCCTTCAAAGGGCACCATTGAGAAGACAACACAGTGAACGGGAAAAAATATTTGCAAAGCATGATCTGATAAGGGTCTTTTATCTACGATATGAGTATAGAAGAACTCTTACACCTCAATAATAAAAAGACAAATGACCCAATTTAAAAAAATGGGCAAAGGATCTGGATGGATACTTCCAGAAATGGCCAACACACACATGAAAAGGTGCTTGACATCACTGGTCATCAGGAAAATGCAAACTGAAACCACAATGAGCTACCACTTCTCACTCACTACAATGGCTAAAATAAAAAAGGAGACAACAACAAGTGTTGACATAGACATGGAGAGACTGGAACCATTGTATGGTGCTGGCGGGAATGGAAAATGGTGCAGTTGCTGTGGAAAGCAGGCTGGCGGTTCCTCAAGTGATTAAACATCAAGTTACCCTATGACCCAGCAATCCCACTTCTCAGCATGTGCCCAAGAGGAATGAAAACATCAGTCCACACAAATACTTGTAGGCAAATGTTCATAGTAGCATCAGTCACAGTGGCCTGCAGGTGAAACAACTACATGTTCGTCAGCTGATGAATGCAGCGTATCCATCTAAAGGGATATTATTCGACACTAAAAAGAAGTAAAGATTCATGCTACATTATGGATGAACCTTGGAAATATTATGCCAAGTGAAAGAAGCTAGTCACAGAAGGCCACATCCAGGGTGGGTCAAAAGTAGGTTTATAGTTATGAGTATGCAAAACAGTTCATTCTTGCATTACTATTTAATTATTGTATCATTTTCTGTATGAACAACTGCAAGCCTACTTTTGCCCCATCCTGTATTGTGTCACTTCATTTCTATGAAGTGTCTGGAGTAGGAAAGCCTATGGAGATGGAAAGTAGGCACAGGGTGGTTAAGTCATTTGCCCAAAGTCACACAGCCACACCCGAACCCAGAGCCCACACACTGGATCCTACCTTATGCTGTATCTATAGTGAAGCCCCCAAACCCAGAGGGGCCCGGAGCCACAGCCTGCTGAGGACAGTGTCACAGGGTAGGCAATGGCTGTGCTACCTCACCTGGTCCTGGACATCCAGCCCTGCAAACTTGGCCTGAGGACCCTGGGCTCCTGGCCCAGTGCCCACCAGAAGCCAACATCCTTCTGGCCCTGCTGGATGGAAGTGGGGGGCTCCATCCTCCTGCCCTTTGCCCTCCTATCTCCCGCCCCTGGTAGAACAAGGTGGAGGCAGGTTAACCAGGGCCACGTCATCACATGCGAGGAGCCATGGGGAGAACCCGCAGTGGGGGCCCTGGGTCTTGGGCGGCTCTTTAAATCCCAACTCTGAGCTTCCTGATTTCCACGGCCAGACCTGTCCCCTTCATGGCCAGCTCGGCCGAGCAGCAACTCAGGTCGCCAAGGCCAGAATCCCAGACCCGCTGGACTAGAACCTTAAAGGGTGGGGACAGCAGAGCCCGTGGGGAGAGGACTCACTTGCTCCTCTGTCCTGTCAGGCAGCGGTGGCCACACCAGGCCCGAGGGGTAGGTGTGGGAGGGGGCAGAGCTGGGCTAGTTTTGTGCCCTGCACCCTAACATGGTGTGACCACGTCACCAGTGAGCCTCATTTTAACAAAACCCAACATCTAAAGATGTAACTTGGACAGAAGGAACCTCCCACAAGAGCTGGGGCCCAGCCGTCACTGAGGAATTGGAAATTTCCATCTGTCCCCTCTGGTTCCATCCTGGATGCGCTCCCTCTGGCAGAGGTGGTGGGTGGGTACCTATGTCATCTCATTTCACAGGGAAGGAAACTATGGCCACATGTCCAGCAAACAGCAGAGTGGGCACCCAACGCCCGGTCTCAGGGAGGTTTTGGATTGGCGGGGCCTGAGAGCTGAGAGGAAGGGCTCCTAAAGTGACTACTGTGGCTTCTCAGAGGGGCCTTGGGTGGGCTTCTGCCTTTGGTTGGAAACTGCACCCCCTGGGCGGACCTCCTTCAGCCCCATCTGGCTGAGAACCAAACTCCAGACTTTGCTCTCGGCACCAGAGCTATGCGAGGGGACCCCCACCCGTCCTGGTGCATGGCTGGACCTCCCTTCACCTTTGCCAAGTGGCCTTGGAGGGAGTGATGCTGCAGCCCCCTGCTGGCCCCCCGTGGAACTGCTCGCTGCTCCAACCCTGCACCATCTCTGCCCGTGCTGGAGAGACTGCGTGTTTCTGTCCCTCAGTGGGGGCTACACGTGAGCATGCGTCTGTGTGTTGGTGGCCTCAGGGGGGCAGAGCTATGCCTCCCCCATCCACTGGGGGCCCCCTGAGAGCAAGGACTGACCTCTGCCTTCAGATCAGTAGCTCGTCCCTAAGAGGAGAGTGAGCGCTCCCCCAAACTGTTTGATTAAGCCTCTTTTATGTGCCATATTCCATACCTGCTGCTGTGAGGAGACAGGGACGACAAGATGGGGTCCCCGTCTTTTGGGTGGTGGCAGATCTGATCGAGGAGACAAACCCATATATGCATGGATGACACGGGTCCCCACCTACCCTCCTTTTTCCTGCGAGAACCCCAATTTTGCTTGTGCCTAGTTAAAACACTCAGCTTCCCAAGCTCTCTTGCAGCTAGTGGGGGGGTGTATCACAGTTCTGGCCATTATGTACACTGAAGTCTACTGGGAAACCCACTGCCTTCTTTATAAAAAAGGTCACAGTATGCTGGCAGTTTCCCTTGCCTTTTGCCCTTCTGCTTTCTTCCTGCTGGGCACATGGATGTGACATCCTGAGGCATAGCAGCCATTTTGTAAGTGTAAGGATGAAACCACAAGCTGACATGAGGAGCCAGCCAGACAGACAGAAGGAGCCTGGACTGCGGATGGCATCACCCAGGCCAGAATTGCTTATGATAAGAGAAAAACCAACCTCACTGTTCATGGGATTTCCCATTACATGCAGCCCAAAGCACCCCTAACTGACACATCAAGGCAGGCCGTGAGAAGTGCGGGCACCTCCATTGCACAGGCTTTGCTTCAGGCTCCCTTCCCACAAGTTCTCCTTGGGGGTCCCTGCTGTGCCCAACTCTGGGCTGAGAACCGAGAAAACACAAAAGCGGAATCCCTGGGAATGAATGCCAGGTGAAGACGACCGAATAACAAGAAAAGGCGACTTGGGAACCACGGTGTGAACAAAGCTGCTGTCGTGCTGTCCCCCAGGTTTTCTGAAGCCACATTTCTACAACCTGCTCACGAAACCTCCCATGAAGGAGCAGGACCTGGAGCACTGGAGACTCCTGCACCGGTGAGGTGGGCAAGAGGGCGTGAGGTTCCCCACCGAGCCTGAACAAGGTGGCTGTGTTGCGCCCATCGCATGGGGTCTGGTACTGCAACTCTTAAGAAAACAAGGAGGTTCGAGCAGGACAGACCCCCTGAGAAATGCTTTCAGCTACACGCACACAGCTGTGAACACCACACAAGGAACGGCTTCCTTCTGCCCTTTGTCATAGGCGTGCTTTTGTTTCTCTGTTCCCGAGCTGCTGTGATGTTCTCCAAACGTTCCTAACACAGGCGGAGGGCTGCCAGGCGCGACCGGCCCTCACTGCCTCGGAGGAAGCTCCCCAGCGTTCTGTTCGCCCCCCCAGCCATCGGCTCCGCCCAGGCGCGTCCCATTCCAGCAGCCAGGCCAGTGGAACCACTGCCATGGTGATGGGTGATGTCACACCCAGCAGGGTCACGAAAGGAGAGAGCCTGGCTCCTCGAAATGTGGGGACCCTGGGGTGGGAGGAGGGTTCATGCAGAGGGACCTATTTTTCTAACTCCAAGGAGGCCGGATGCATGCGCAAGATGAAGGGTGTCACTGGGGGCCCGGCTACAGCCCACGCCGATGGTACTTCTCTGGGGATGTCACTTTTCTCATTTCTAAGGTGGGCCTGGCCACAGCAGACCTCTGGTGCAGATGTGAGGCAGCCCAGGGCAGTGCTGGCCCGTGTAACTCCTGCAAATGTAACTCTTGGTGGGGGGACACCAGAGAGAGGAGGTCTCTGCACTGACCCCTCTCCCCTCGGGCAAAGCAGACCCTCACGTCCAAGGCCCGGGCAAGGGGGCCACAGCTGGCATGAGAAGATAACAGGACAGGTTAATTCTGAGCTTCTGGAGGCCGGGGGCCTGGAATGTAAGGGATTTCTCTTTACCTACTGAGGCAATGCATGCAGTGAGAACCTTGCTGCGGAGGGAGGGGCCAGGTTCTCAGCTCCCCCCTTTCTGAGCCTCGGTTTCCCCCAGCATGAACATGCTAGACTCTGTGAGCTTCCTTTGGCTTCTGAGATCCTGGGACACTTCGCCTTGATGGCTGCCCCCAGCCCCCACTTGTGTCAATGGCCGTCATCAGTCATCAGCACCGCACAGCTGGGCAGGACGAACATCGGCCTGGGGGTCAGAGGTCCTGGGTCCTGCCCCTGCTCTGAGATCTTCGGTGAG